TATTAATTTATAAAAAACTAATACTCCAATTTTTCAATTAGAGTTTTTGAGATTAGTGTCTTTACACATTTTTGAAATCATCAATCAATCATTGTTAGACTACCATTAGAAACCTGGAAGCACTGAAAGACGGCCATTTCGTCCTGTTATGGAACCCATCAGTGGCTGTGAGCATCCAAGGCTCCTGCATCTCGCAGGATCCGAACCCGAAACCTTCGGTATTGTGCGCGATAGCCTAACCTTTGGATTACTGGGCCGGCATCTAACGGTGTTAATGTCAAACTTTGATTGATCAAGGGATTTTGCGCGACCTCACCCATTTGTATTTAGTAGTTACTGCCTAAACCCGACAAGGTTGAACTCCACTGGTCATGTCTTCTCACTAGAACTCCCAGAGTTTCCTCACAAAGCTAGTCAAAATGTGAGCACACTTAACGATATTTTCAATTAGAATTATGAAGATTTGTGTTTTTACACAAATCTGAAATCATCAATCAATCATTGCAGGAGTCTTTAGAGCTCACTGCCACTGATGAGTCCCATATCAGGACGAAACGGCCATCCAGTGCTTCCAAGTTTCTAATATCGGTTTAACAATGACTGATTGATGATTACAAAAATATTTCATTTGTTGCGTTTTTTTATTCTTTAAAAACTTGTTTTATTTCTTTCTTTCCCATTCAATGTTCAATTGAACTCAGATTAAATTTAAAAGTGTGTTGTGTGTGTGTGTGCGTATCTATTTAGAAAAATAAAGAATGATCTTTCATTTTTTTTCTTCTTTGTTAATAATTTGTAATTTATTCGAAGATTCCAGATTAATAATCATAATAATAATAATGAAAATAACACAATTATTAATAATTATAACAAATATAATAAAATCAAAATAAATATTCATACTTATTAATTTTGTTTTTTCGAACAATATACAATAATGATTATTATTATTATTATTATTATTATTATTATTATTATTTGAAGATAATAGTGTTTTAAAAATAAAATTTGAAAAAAATTTCATGAATATCTCTTTTTTTGTAGTTCATTAATTATATTCGGTCAATTTTTTTTTGATTCCTTGTTATTTCATTAATATTGTAATAATAATAATTATTATTATTATTATTATTAATAATTATTTCGAATTCATTTACTTTTCGTATAATCTGTTTTAATCTTTAATTAACTTGAACCAATCAAATGAAAGAAAAATAAAACAGAGTGTGTTTGATTTTCGAAATTCTGTGCTCTGAGAATTTAGGTCAGTATTTTGAAATGAATGGATATATATATATATATATATATATATATATATATATATATATATATATATATATATATATATATATATATATATATATAGGAATAACATGAATTATTTGATTAGTGAGAAATTTATGTTTCTAGGTTATCTCTAGTCCAATTCTGAAAGAAAGTTATTCATTGAACTTAAATAAAATCAAATTTTAATAAATAAATGAATCCAGGTGATAGATTTTTATGAAAAAGTTTTGATGAGATTTAATTATTTTTTTTTGAATATTTATGCGTGATATTTGAACTGTATTATATCGGTCCACGCTCACTTTAATACAGTTAGTTAGTCAGTATGTCTGTAGTGCCTCCACATCATATATTCCAGTTCGCTTACATTTAATTTGGTTAAGAAGCCCTTTTCGATTGATTTATTTAACCAAGCCATTTCTGTATAGCAGCAATTTATATGTACTTATCATTCGTTCTTATAATTGTCTGGTTTGTATGAGCTCACATGACGTGTCTCCCACTTGTCATCTCACCTTGTCAATCATTCGTCGCTTTTATTCCCATGTGTGTGCATGCCTATCTGTCTGTCTTACTTTTTTTCTGAATATAAATTCTTAGTCATGCTTTGTCTCTGGGAGTTCGCTCATCAGCCTTCTCCAACGCGCTTCTCCTGTTCATTCGCTTACTTCACGCATTTGTTCGCATTGAAATCCTAAGAGTTGGCTTAACATTCTTCTTCAATTCACGTCGCTTCTTTCGTTTTATTCAATGCTTCTCCGCTGTGCTTTTTGGCGTGTCCCAAATAAACGTATTCATCACTTCGAGTTCATGTTCTGATTCATACACCATCAGACGCTAATTAGTAGCTATTGTCTGGACGCGCTAATTACCGAGCTTAAGAACATGCAGTAAATCTACACACCACAAATGATGAGCCCGACGTCAACAAAATCGGACACCACAAATATGGTGACCCCGACGTCGAAATGGGCCACTACAAGTCAGTTAACTATAATGTAGAAGTTGGTACTGAGATGGTGGAGAAAATTTGTAGTTCAGGTGGATGATTGTAGTGGTTGTTGTTTTGGTTGTGAAGCTTTCATTGTTCTTCTACTGAACACACAACATCATTAGCATAAACTTCATATAGAAGAAGTGAAGTATTCGAATTTCTCCACGTTTGACCTGTAGCTTGTTCTGTTAACCTCTATCTTGATTGCTGTTGACGGTATATCTGTCGTTGTTCGCATCTTTGTTTTGATTGTATCCCCCTTTTTGACCAGTTTTTGGATAGATCCTATGTCAGCTAAGCATTTTCTGCTTGGTTGATAAATCGAGTCATTATCGATGTATTTGTTGATTGCTGATTGACCTTAGTGCCAAGCTTCCGAAAAATTCTCTAGTGTATTTTGTCCTCCCACAGTCCAGTATTTCCACATTGTTCCAATTGAATGTATGTCTATAATTCTCGGTGTGTATTGATATAAGCGAAGCGTTATCGTGGCGTTTGACTGCTGATTGCTGTTCATGTAAACGAAGCTGAAGAGGCCATCCACTTTGTCCTATGTTGCTGTTTATCACAATCTTGCTACCTACGTACGTACGTACAGCAGTTTAAGTAGCCATACCACATTAGTACACAGAGATCGAATGGTCTGTTTAAATCCCATACAAGTAGAAGTAGTAGAAAATATTAGCGGTAACCAAAAATATTAATGGTCGAAGATATGATTGATTGACCAATAAGTAGTGATTATCGTCACAGAAATATTTTCTGTCCATATAACCAGTTTTACACTGTATAGATTCCAATAAATTATCGATTAATAACAGAAATAAAGGAAACTACTAGAATGGACTACTATGATATGTGAAATCCAAAGATAATTTTAAGCAGGAAACTTCAGTCAGTCAGTCAGTTACAACGTACAACTTCGTTCATGAGTACATAAGTTCAGGTTGTCATACCGCATCAGCACAGAGACGCAATTGTCCATTCGAATCCCATAGTGGTAGAGATAGTAGAAATATTAGCGGAAATAGAGAAGATTAGGATTTGAAGGTATTATTCAAGAAGTATAATTCAGTGAGATAAGGTTAGAAAGACAAAGGTAGAGGGGTAGACGAATCAAGAAGATTAGGATTTGAAAGAACACAAAGAATGGATGCGCCTGCGCCATTGCAAACGAGTTTGAGTCATGTCATTCAAGGTCTCTAACCATCGGTGACTTTCGTCTCGCGGACCCCAACCAGGTAGTCCACATGACTCAGTTCACTTGTCAGTGACTTCATGGATTTCTGCCATGTTTTGGTTTGGCCGCCCCCAGCTTTCTTACAACCTACTCCAATAACACAAAGCATAACTCGTCGAGTCAGTTGGTGGTTGCGCATTCGTAACACATGTCCTAACCACTTCAATTGATGAAGTTCCAATACTTCATCAATTGATCTGCCATCTCTACCTAGTACTCGTTTCCTAATTATAGCACTGCTTACTCGGCTGTCTCAGGATATACGAGCAATGCTTGGGAGACATCTATAATCCAAAACCAATAATCTACGAATATCTTTTAATCTAAATGGCCATATTTCACATCCGTATAGTAGGACAGAGCAAACAGCTGCGCAGTACACAAGTCCTTTGTTAAGCAAATGAATATCTCGCCTACGGATATCCGCACGACTAACTCTTCTCAAATTGCTTTATCACCCCTTACCGCTTAGTAGGATACTTACATAAATCCATGTATACAAATTTTAGGAAATTCATCCAATATCCTAAGAGAATTATTGGTCAAATCCTATTTGTCGATTTCTACTGGTCAAAATTATGGTCGTTTTAACTGTCAAAGTCAAATACCTCAATGTTCTCTCTTATTGGTCATCCGGACTGTCAATATCACAGACTTCGATGCTGTTTCCCATTCGACCAAAATGTATAGATAAGCATTATCTGAAACGTTTTATGACCACGACCAGGACCAGGGCTCGGTCCCGGATACCTAGTCCGGGATCCTGATGCTCTTCTGGATTCGGACCTCGTACATTCTAAATGCTTGTAAAATACCGATCCTACTTCATATTGAGAAGACTGAGGCAGGCGAGGAAGATTGTATTATGCAAATTTAAATTCTCAATTAAAAACGAAAACATTACATTGAACACATCTTTGAGTCGTGACTTCCAAAGCTCCATCCTTCTTCCATTCCTGTTGTTGCTTCCTTTCCTTCCTGTTGGTACTCCATTTACTTCTTGCTTTTGCTCCATTTGCTTTCCGTTTTGCTCTTCTGACCGTGAGGCTTCTTCTTTAACGTCCCTTCTTATACTACTTATATCGTTCGTATAAGTAGCACACACCACAATATCATGTCTTCTAATTTTTACTAACTATAGGGGTTAAGATAATCGGATTTGAGTAGCATGTCGTATCACCGGATCCTCGATCCTCGCTCTCGTTTTCCGACTAGGTAAACTCGTAATAGTTCAAGTATCTCAAGTTGACGTGTTCACGTGCAGGCGTAACAACAATACTATCTCATCAAGGGAAAAGATTTCAGTAAGCTCATATCTTCATGAATTATTCTATTCTTATTGTTTTGTTTAAAATAATTTTTCAATTTGTTTGAATTAATCCATTTTTTTAAACAAAATGAATTTGAATTCAATGTACAATTGTTACAATGATCAATGTTCAATGGTTCTTCCTCTTCTTTTTTTTTCTCCAAATATAGCCAGGTCCGCTACGATATCGTTTAAATTTCACTTCATTTATATTTGAATGTATCAGTTATGGCATAATATCGTTATTTCTAATTGAAATACCAATTAAATTATGGACATTTGGTATAAAATTTTATCGTTATCAATGGATTGAATTATTAGATGTATTTGTATGTATCGTAAGTTTTTCAGTCGATACATATAATATACATCGACATGTAGCAGAAACTAAAACAAATGATGAACATGATCATAGATTGACTATTGAACAATCCAATGAAACTGTTGAACAGTCAATTCAAACAACTATAGCTGATGCAGCAGGATTATTAGTGTTGTTTCGTCTTTGGCGTGTTATACGTATTATTAATTGTAAGTGTTAATATTCACTAACTAAAGTTTTATACTTTTATTAATAATGAGAATTTCAGCAGATGTTAGAGATCTTTGAGATAAACAAACTATTCAGCTGAACTAGTGAGCCAATGATTCGCAGGTGTGTGAGAGATAAGCTCCAACTTTAGGTCAAATCACTTAATTACTTACGCCTGTTACCCCCAATAGAGCACAGGTAGCCGATCATCATTCTCTAACCTTTTCTGTCCTAGGCCTTCCTTTCCACTTCTACCCAACAGCTGTTCATTTATTTCATGTCTGTCTCTATTTCTCTACACAATGTGTTATTTAATCTTCGGCTTCTCCTTTGATCTTGAGGATTCCAAGTGAGGGCTTGTCTTGTAACACAAGTGGGTGCTCTCCTAAAAGTGTAACCTATCCACTTCCAACGCTTGTTCCTGATTTCTTCCTCTAATGGAATTTAGTTTGTTCTATCCCACAGTAGGTTGTTGCTGAAGTTTTCTGGCTAACGGAATAGCAGTATCCTAAGTATAAAACTGTTAATAAACACCCGTATCTTGTGGATGACGGCTTTTGTAGTTCTACAAGTTTCCATTCCAAACAGTAGAACTGTTTTGACGTTCATATTGAAAATTCTGACTTTGGTGTTGGTTGGAAGTTGTTTGAAGTTC